CACATGACATAAAATATTGTTCTGTCTTCTCTTATAAACTATATATTTCGAGAAGTACATAATTATATTATTAAATTTTTTTTTCTCTCTTTCCACAATAGTCAACAAATTTATGAAAAGTTTCTAAAAAGAGAGATAGAAAATAACTTTAATATTATAATTAGGGTTCACTTTTTCTGCAGTTATTGCAGATAAGTTATCTGCAGTAAGCCCAATACGACGTCGTTTTGGGGCAGAAATAATGGTGTTTTTGTAATTTTAATTTATTTCGGAATTATTATAATCTTTATAATTATAATTTTCAAATCTTTCAATCCCAAAACGACGTCGTTTTGAAAGTAAATGCAGATAACTTATCTGCATTAACTGCAGAAATATTTTTCTGTTATAATTATGTACTTCCCAAAATACATAATTATAAGAAGGTGATAGAACAAAACCTTATATCCTGTGATAGGACAAACAATAAACTTATATATAATGGGACTCACTCACTTTTATATGAGTGTGTTGACAGAATTTTTTTTGCAGGAAAACATAAACATTTTTTCCCCATATATATATATATATATATATGGATTCGCTTTTTATGCAGTAAGTCAATACAACGTCGTTTTGGGACGGAAATCATGGTGTTTTTGTAATTTTAATTTATTTCAGGGTTATAATAGTCTTTATATTTATAATTTTTTAAAATTTCAATACCAAAACGACGTCGTTTTGGGAATAAATGCAGATAACTTATCTGCATTAACTGCAGAAACATTTTTCCTTATATATATATATATATATATATATATATATATATATATATATATATATATATATATATATATATAGGATCCTTTGACACCAGTGTCAAATTTGAATTTTGACACCTCATCTAGGATCCATTAGATCAAAAAAGATCAATGGTGCTACATGCTTACAAATCAAAGTCATTGATCTTTTTTGATCTAATGGCTCTCAGATGAGGTGTCAAATTTCAAATTTGACACTGGTGTCAAAGGATCTTACCTTATATATATATATATATATATATATATATATATATATATATATATATATATATATATATATATATATATATTGGGGGTTACTTTTCTCTTAGACCAAAAAGTGGGGCCCATGTATATATCTATATATTCATTTTGATCATTTATTATGATATTTTTTATGGGAAAACTAGAAGTGGCAATATGGGTTGAACCCGACGAGTCAACCCGCCAAAACGGGGCGAGCTGGGTTACATATTTCAACCCATCAACCCGCCCCGTTGGGTTGTGGGTAAAAACGGGTTGGCGGCCAGTGACGTAGTCACTTAGAGTCTAGATGGGGCCTTGGCCCCTGCTGACTTTCTTAAAAAAATTATTATTATATATATTTATATAATTAATTATTATTTAACCCCTTCTAAAGTTAAAATTTGGCCCCATCTATGCTCTTTGTCTCTCAACTAATAGCCTAATACATTGTCAGTGGAGTTGTAAACCCCTGCAGCGGTGTCTTCGTGTTCTCACGGTTCTCAAAGTTCAAAACCCCAATGGTATTTTCTTTTAAATTAGTGCTTTTTTATTCTGAAATTTTTCTAGTTTTCTTGTGATTGATTTTATTTTGTGAAGATATGCTTGTTAGAGTGGAGTGCCTTTGAGTGTTTTGTTCTTTAGTGTTTCCTTAAATATTTGAATCAGAATCGTCTTTATAGAGTCTCTCTTGACAAATTATGAAGTTATACAGCATCTCCATGGCTTTATTTCAGAGCGACAAAGCCTATTGCATTTCATGTCGTTGCTCTTTAAAACAAAATGTTATTTTTCTTTTTTTTTTCTCTCTCTCACAATAACTATTTTATAAATAATTACGAAATTGCAAGCAATTACTTAATACTTATATGATACAGCCTGCAGTTGTATAAATTAATTCATGATAGCTTAGTGACTTATAACACCTTTATTTTAATATCAAGCAAAAGTAAAAAATGTAAATTGTAAAGATATATGCAACTTGGTATAATGGTATTGGTTTATGATTCTCAAAGACCAGTGTAGGGGTCCCTCATATATGAAATAAATAAATAATAACTTTCTTGTAAAGATATATGTGAAAACAAGGCTTCGAAACAAAATGGATCACGACTTTCTTGCAAATAATTTGGTTTTGTATATTCTATTCTTGAAGATTTCGTCAGTTTAAAAGAGCGTCGTTTACAATTTTAGGTATGTTTTTTTTTGTTACATTTTAAATTACTTATTAAATGTTGTTATACATATAATTATTATATTTGTGTGTATTCATATTCCTAGGACAATGCTTGTTCATTACTTATTATGCTGTGGGAAAAAAGTGTGATTCTTTTGTTTGGAATGCTTGCAGGAAAGGTTAGTTTTTTTTTTTTTTTTATATGTTTGCTTTGATATATAATAGTTGCCTAGTATTTATTTGAATTTTCGATATTATGTGACATTATTTAGTAAATAATTTAGATAAGCATGCTAGAATTCATGGTAAATTTTTTTCCTAATAAATTTGTGTAATTACGATAATATTTTGATAATTTGATGTGTCAAATTTTTTGAACCCTGCTAAATTGAAATCTTGGCTCCGCCATTGTTGGCAGCAGGCTGGCCTGCTGAGTCAATTTTGTTTTTTTTTTTTGTTTTTTTACTATTAGGTAGTGTTTTATTTGTTTTTAAACTTTTGTGATATCAATTTTTTGTTATCTTAGTACTCTCTAGAAAAAATATAGAAGAAAAACTTTATTTATGACAAAAGTAATTTATGTATGGAGATAAAAACTAGGGTGGCAATATGGGTTGAGCTCGGCAGGTTAACCCGCCAACCTGCCAAAATGGGGCGGGTTGGGTTGAGGTTTTCAACCCACCAACCCACTTCGACCCGCCCCGCCTAGAAGTGGGTCAAAATGGGTTCAACCTGCCGCGGGGCAGGGGTTATATATATATATATATATATATATATATATTTTTTTTTTTTACAATTAGGTAGTATTTTATTTGTCATTAAATTTTTGTGATATCCAATTTTTTTTTATCTTAATACTTCCTATAAAAGATATAGAATAACAATTTTATTTATGACAAGTGTTATCTATATATGGAGACAAATGAGTTCCTAAAAAATGTTTAATATTAGTATACATTTAAGATTGAGACTAAAAAAATTAAGAGAAGTGTGAAATAAGATAAAATAATATTAGAAAAATTCATAAAATATAATTTTATTTTAAATTTTAATTATTTTTTAATTGGCGGGTTGGTGGGTTGACCCGCCAACCCACCATAAAACGGGGTGGATTCAATTTTCCAACCCATATTCAACGGCGGGCCGACCCGCCCCGTCCTGTTTTTGGCGGGTTGGTGGTGGGTCAACCCATATTGCCACCCCAAATAAAAACAAATTTGTAAAGAATATCTGACTAAATATTGGCATACATTTAGAGTTAAGATTAAAAAAAATTAAGGGGATTGTGATACGAAAATAATTAATACTATATTATTAAATAAGATATAATTTATTTTTTATTTTTAATTTTTTAATTTGGGTTTTCAACCCAAATTCAAGAGGCGGGATGGGGCGGGCCAACCCACTTTTGGCGGGTTAAGAGCGGGTCGAGGCCGTTTTGCCACCCCTAGGAAAAACTACTCTCCAGGAGAGTAGTGTGTTTTCCTACAGAGACATGAATTTTTATATTTTTTGTTTTTATTTTATAATTATGTGGATTCCACTATATGATTGTGAGAGAGATAGGAGATATACTATTTCTTATTGATGTAGATTAGTAACTCCCTTTTTTTATAAAAAAAAGTACAGCTAATTTATTTGAATGTGGGTTAATTTGTTATATCTCTTTCTTTATTTAAATGTTATATCTTTGATATTAAAAAAAAATGTTATATCTTTTTCTTCTATTATAATTTTCTCTCTTTGAATTTCAAGATTCTTCTATTTATTTAATATTTTGAATGCTATCTATTTTTTTAAATAATTATATCCTCAATAAAATAGAAAAAAATGAAATATAATAATTTGAAATAAAAAAATATTTCAAAAAATATGAATTAAAAAATAAATTTATGAAGTAAGCAGGAAATACACCTCCGCAAGGAAGGTATCTTCTCATTATCATTTTAAAAAAAAAAAGCTAGACATTTCTTAATAGGCGGGGAATATTCATCTATTTGTAAGGGCAAATTTTTATTTTGGTTCCTTATTATTATTATTTTATTTCAATTTAGTCTTCACAAGTTAATTTTTATAGTTCAGTCTCTCTCTCTCTTTTATTTTTTTGGTAAACTATAGTTCAGTCTCTTACTAATTGAAATTCCCATCAATTTAGTCTATCTGTGGGACAAGTCTTAAGTAAATTTTGGTTTATGATAGGGACAAAATTGGGGCAAATTTGATCAATGAACTGAATTATAGAATCCATGGGATGATATTAAAAATAAAATTAGCGACCAACGAAAATGCATTGTTTGTAAGCTATATTTCGATTGTTAGAGTAGTTTCCACATGACCACCAAGCACATGGATCTTATGGTATAGGACACTTCTATTTTAACTAGTGCTATCCAGTTTGAGTATGCTCATATATTAAAAACGTAATAGGGTGAGTTTTGTTGTTCACGTGATTCTACTTGACTCAACCAGATTAATTGATTAACCAATAAATCGATGGAGAAATTTCAAAAAAAAAGAAAAGAAAAAAAAGAAAGAGTGGTTCCCATTTTGGAACACTTATAACCCCACTTAGTACTTATATATCATCTATGGGCATAAATCTTTACTTGAAACAAAAGATTTCTTAAAAAGCAATTCAGAGAAGGATTCCTGAAAAAAGCTATACTTTTCTTTACCTATCTGGCAAGACTAGAATCATAATGCTTGATGACATTTCTCAAGCTATATAGCTACATCTATATTGCTTTGATTATTGTGGTTTGTGTGCTGCATGATTTGAGAGGAACATTCATCTAAATAGTATGAACCAAATGGTAGAAAAGTGGTCTTATTTTTCTCTTGCTCGAAGTTATTATGAAGATATTGGAAATTTTATCTTATCTATGAGTTCTGAGTATGGGGTAAATGCCAGGGCAGCAATACCCTATGTCATCCTCGGTTTTGTTTGTCTTTTGGTTTATGTTTCAAGGCCCAAGCCCACAAGTCCTGATAGCTTGCTGAAGCCCAAGCCCAAGAGTTATGACCGTACAAGATCCTGGATCATTAGAGAAATCCACAGTGGTAAGCTAGTATTGGATAGACTGGTGGAGGGTTTCAATAAAGCTCAAGTAAATCCTGCAACATTAGCCAATACAGAGAATGTTTTAAAGGCTTTACTTGAAGAAGAACTTCTTGATTTAATAAAGCTTCAGGTTTGACACATTAACATATTTATCCTCCTCGTTCATATTTAATAAAGTATCAACATTTTTCTTAATTTGTGGTATTTTGTTTCACATTTATCCTCCTCGTTCATATGTTATAATGCATGGGGTTTGCATTTGTCAACATGACACAACAAACTTTCCTACACACACAATATTTTGTGGGGTCCATATTTTTTGAAAAAAGAAAAAGAAAATTACGGAACGCAAAACAAATCTCTATAACATTACACAATCACTCTTCCTACAATGTAACTCTTATAAAACCTGCATTGAAGCAAACTGTGGCGAAGTTGGAAATGAGTGGAAGGGAAGATTCTGCAGTGAAAATACTTGAAGAGGCGGCAAAAAAGGCCTATGATGCAAAGAAACCACACGAAGCCTACGAGATTGAAATGTTACTCGTAGAAATGCTCATCTACAAGGTGTTGTTGAATCTTAATTTTCCAATATATTTGATTGAAATTTATGCTTAAATCTCAACATAATAACTTAAACTTATAATTTCCGTAAATAAAAATGATTTGACATCAATGTTGAAGACTACATACTCATATGTTCCTCTGTCATGAATTCCTATATCTATGAAAAGAGAGATTCCTCATATCTAATATTGGCAGGGAGAATTGGACAAAGCTTCTAAATGTAAATGCTTGAAAGATGAATCAATTAAAGATGCTCGGCGCCCACTGTACAAGGTACATGTGCCTTTCTTATCCAACTTTGGCCCCCCTTTGCTACCTAACATGCACAAAATTACAAACCTGCTTAGGTTAAGCATTGCTGATTATGTATTCAAGATAAAACGTTTTCCTTGGTCATTTTTTTAAGGATCTCTACTAACTATATATGATCTAGGGATGTGAATGTTGGTATTGAAGCGAATTTTTTGAAAAATCAAATCGAATTGATTTAAACGGCTCGGTTCGGTTGAAAACAGTTTAGTTCGATTTGAGTCGACCTTATTCTGAAAAAAATAAAAAAATAAAAAAATAAAATAAAAATCAATTCAGTTCAGTTCGAAAACGGTTGGGTTCTTGAATTGGTTTTAAAAACCAGTTCGGTTCATGAACTGATTCATTAAAAACCAGTTCGGTTCATGAACTGATTCATTAAAAACCAGTTTAGTTCATGAACTAATTTTTAAAAACCGATTATTTTAAGTACAGTTCAATTCGGTTAAATTTTTTGATTATTTTACACATCTTTAATTTATGCTTTAATTCTATTTACGTGCACCCATCAAGTAATATCTGTTTGATTATAGCTGTAACTGTAGGTATATAAGTGACAGAAATAACAGGAACCTGGTTATTTGAGACTTTTTATTTACATTTTCGTCTATGTTTTTTTCCCCCTTCTAACGTTAAGTCTTAGACATCCTTTATAATAATAATAATAGAATAAAGAAATAACCAACACCATGGTTTATGACAAAATCATTATCTTTCACAACGGAATGCACATCTTCCTCTGATGGTCTTAGCTCTTAAAAATTACAAAGGGACAGAAAGAGTGAAGTGTACCTTTCAGATTAAATTTGGCTCATGGTTGCCTTGCCTTTGAAATTTTTCACAGGCAATTATATACAAAATGCTGGTGGACACGAAAGAAAGAAATGAAAAAGAAAAAAAAGCTAAAGAATGTTGGGAAGAATTCGTTGAAGTACAAGATCCACAATTGAAGGAAGTTTATCTTTCTCAGACCAATTTTGAGGCGTTTAAAGAATCTGTAGGCAGACTTCAAAGTGCTACAAGAGTTTGCCGGGAGAACTAAATAAATGTTTACAAACTCAACTATCAACTGTATATTTTCGGGAATAAATTCGGATAGGAATGCATTGTAAGAAATATATAATATAATTTGTTAGAATTTATAATTTTTTTTTATAAAAATAACATGTCCCTTGTAAATAAGGAGTACATTTTTCTTATATTACATTGCATGAAAAAAAATATATCTCCTACACACTTATCAAAAGATATGCTTGAGTTTTTTTCTTAAAAAAAAAAAAAAAACAGGTGGACCTTATATATCACTACTAGAAAATGTCTTTTTTTCGACGGAAAAATTCCATCGAAAATGGTTAAAATTCCGTCGAAAATGATGCCGTCGGAAATATCTTCGTGGGTAACAATTTTTTTGACAGAATTACAGATTCCGTCGAAAAATTTCGACGGAAATTTCGACGAAATAATTTCTGTTGAAAGTTTCTACGGAAAAATAATTCCGTTGAAAATTTTCGACGTAAAATGAACGAAATTCCGTCAAAATATCTTGTCTCAATTTTCGACGGAAAACAAATTCCGTCGAAAGTTTTCGACGAAAAATGAATGAAATTCCGTCGAAAAATCTTGTAATGACTTTCGAGGGAAAACAAATTCCGTCGAAAATTTCCTACGGAAAATGATTGAAATTTTGTCGAAAAATCTTGTAATGACTTTCGACGGAAAACAAATTCCATCGAAATTTTTCGACGGAAATGAATAAAATTCCGTCAAAAAATCTTGTAATGACTTTCGACAGAAAACTAATTCCGTCGAAAATTTTCGACAGAAAATGAATATAATTCCGTCGAAAAATCTTGTCTCAATTTTCGATGAAATTGCTTTTTCATTTGTTTCACACCTGATAAACAAATATAATTATAATAACATATCAAAATTATTTGATGTTACTATAATTTATGTGTACAAAAGTCCCTGCCATATACAAATCAAAAGAGACTTATATATATAAATGTCCAAGACATATACATAAACAAAAGTCCCTGTCATATACTAATCCAAAGATTCCTATATGAATAAATGTCCAAGACATACTAATCAAAAGAGACATACATATACAAAAGTCTCTATCATATACTAATAAAAAGAGTGCTATATATATATAAATGTCCAAGACATATGCTAATCAAAAGGGACATACATATACAAAAGTCCCTGTCATATACAAATAAAAACAGTCCTACATCTATAAATGTCCAAGACATATACTAATGAGAAGGGACATACATATACAAAAGTCCCTGTCATATACTAATCAAAAGTGTCATATATCTATAAATGTGCAAGACATATGCTAATCAAAAGGGACATACATATACAAAAGTCTCTATCATATACTAATCAAAAGAGTCTATGTACAATAGTCCATGTCATATACATCCAACAAAGATACAAAAGTCATGCTGATGGATGACCTGCATGATCATAGTCATCACCTACGACCTGAGACGGGGGCTGAGTCTCGTCGTCATCCTCAGTATCTAATAATTCCACAGGAAGCCTTTGCAAAAGCTTCTCTATTTTGTCCATTCGCCTCTGCATCATAACCATGAGACTATCCTGTTGCTGAGCCTTTTTCTCCTGCTGTGCATCCTTCTCTTGTTGTTGTGCAACCCTCTCCTCTTGATGTGCAGCCCTCTCCTCTTGTTGTGCAGCCCTCTCCTCTTGCTGTGCAACTGTACCCTGCAACTGCATAATCAATGTGCGCATCCTCTCATGCTCTTGCTGGGACACTCCAAGTGGTAGCCTATTGGAGAGTCTAGATTTCTTATATGCTCCTCCCAGTGTACCTAAACCGTATAACCGTCCTTTAAGGTTAACCCCACCAGATGCCTGCACGATCAAATCATTATTCGAGGCAACACTGCTAGCATCCTCTCCTGGAGTGACTTGACTGTCTCTCTCTTCCCTAAGTCTCGTAAAGCCATCCTAAAATTTACATAGAAAGTATTCATGTGTTAAAGTCAGGTGCAATAAAACAAATCAATTTCTTTTGTAAAGTAAACATTTGGTGTAACAATAGATATTACTCACAGCTGTTGCCTTTGCCTTGTCATTGCACCATTTGTCACGATCATCTTTAGATGTGTGTGTATGCTTGAACACAGCCCAACCCACGGTAGACGGATCTGTGACCCCATCTTCCTGCTACGTATATATGTACATAAACAATCAGAACATAATACGCTAAGTATAAAAAATGGCTTACCATTTTATGAATCTACATGCATATGAAAAATTGTAAGTATTCTTACCAACCGCCTTGCATGCTCATGAAATGGAATTGAACCTCCAGAATGTGTAGGTCCGTCAAATTTGGACCTGTTCCTCTTATTTGATTCAGCCATTTTCTTCCATTTTTCATTAGACCAGTGAACCTTTAAACCATCAAGAACATCTTGTCTCATCCAAGACATATCGCCCTTTCCTTTTCTTATCAAATTCAAGTGATTTCTGATTATATCATTGGCTTTGGTCTTGTATGCTTTCTGAAAAAGATATTCGTCATCCGGCAAGTATTTATATTTTTCCTACAATGATGAAACAAGACAATTTAGAAAAAAGTTCAACATTAGCTTCAAAAACGTTGAATCATACATAAATATTAATATGGTCAGATTTGAAGGGCAACATTACCATCAATGAGTTAAACCAGTTCTCCTTGACATTGGTTGGAACTGCCTTATATGTAGGGTATGGACCGTCATAGTTGCGCTTGATTATACCCCATATTTTGCGCACTACATCCCATGGTTCAAAGCTGAAATAGATTGTAATTTGATTATATTCATCAATGCATTTAAATTATTGTCAACACTTATATGAAGATGTATTGAAAAAATATCACAACTACCATTAACATTTCTTGTACTTACTTGCTCCCATCAATGGTCGGTCGTACCCATATACGATTGTCCACAGGATCTTTCTCCCCCCATCGTGGAACAAGATCCTGTATTACAGGCGGAGGTGGTCCATAATATGGAGCCTCTGGTGGGGACGAAGTGTGATCCTGTTTAACAAAAACAAGAGATAAAGACAATTTTTTTTACAATAAGCAAATGTGAACATAAATTTTTTGGAATAAAAAATGTAGAATATGTGCATAATTAGTCGGATAACCTCATTTGCTTCTTCAGTAGAAGCTACAAACGTCTCCTGCGTCTCCGGGACTGCCGATGGTGGTGATTGTGCATCTGGTGATGTTGTTTGCATACGTGAAGAGAATGACGTGTGGTCCTGCCCTCGACGGTTAATGGCCCCTCGTCCATATGTACGTAGAGAGGTAGTATCCTTACCTCCACCCCTACCATGTGTACTGTCAAATGTCTTCATCTGCAAAAAGAAACATTCATGATTGTTATATCAGTTTACCATTACAATCTCCATAAGAATTGATCATTTATGAAAATGTAACAAATATTAGTTTACCATTACAATCTCTATAATATGTCATCAAAATTAACAATACATCCAAAGATAAGTATTTGATAGTACCAAATATTACAACAATTACAACTACATTGACATATCACAAGAAATATGACCACAAACAAACATAATATGTCATGAATGTTGCACAGTTCTCTAATGATTGTTTATAATTGGCATTTCATTCTGATTCCTCATTTTGAACTAGGTCTTCTTCTTCTTCAGTCTCCTCAGTTTCATAATCGTCGTGTTCTGCTTCAGATGATGACAAGAATTGTGGTTCCTCAATGTTTGTGTCATCACTATCAATGCTTTGAGCAGGGATTGTCTCTAATTCAGCTGTAGTGTCAACAAGGATCGGATGGATGTCATCATCAGCAATGTGTATAGGAACCTGGCAGCCATAATCATCTTGGTAAGCATTGTCAATTTCATCGGTTTCTTTTACTCTTGTCACTGGGATAATGTTACGAGCTTTGGTTTTAATTACCCCCAGCCATTCTTGTTCATCCCCGGGATAAGATGTATAATAAACCTGCTCGGCCTGTTGAGCAAAGATAAACGGATCGTATCTATTGTATCTCCTAGACTTCTTAACTTCAACATTGCCATATCGATCTTTTCGTGTGCCTTGTGGGCTAGGATCAAACCATTGACATTTAAATAAAGTTATCTTTGTTTCACCGTGGCCAAGATAACCCATTTGTACAATATCAATTATCATCCCAAAATAGTCAACTTCTAAACTTTCCATCTGCGATCCTCTAACGCAAACGCCATAATTTGTTGTAGCCATCCTTTCATTTGATGATATAGTCGCAAACTTGTATCCATTAATAACATACTTTGGACAACGAATGACGATTTGGTTTGGTCCCCAAGCTAAGCTCCATACAACATCTTTAGTCGCATTATGAGATTGTTTAACCTACATTGTGTTGTAAAAATTACATGGTTTAGTACATAACGTGCATTGGTTTAACGATACATATTAAACTAGTAATGTGTGCAAAAGTGTTGGTATACATATTCATACCGTTCTTGAATACCAGGATGGAAACTCTGTTGATATTTTTTCGTCAAGTTGTACAACTGTTATCAAGGGATTTTGGAGTCTTTCTAAGTTGGAGAATGTCCAGTCATGTTAGAAATGTGTCGGGAATAAGCAACGAGGAATCCATCGAAAACCATCAAAAAATAATTTCTTTTCCATTTATTTTATTCACCCATTTTTGACGGAATTCATTTTTCGTCAAAAATCTTCGACGGAATCCATTTTCCGTCGAAAACATTCACAAAATCAATTTCTTTTCCATTTATTTTATTCATCCGTTTTTGGCGGAATCCATTTTCCGTTGAAAACCTTCACAAAATCAATTTCTTTTCCATTTATTTTATTCACCCGTTTTCGACGGAATTCATTTTTCGTCCAAAATCTTCGACGGAATCCATTTTCCGTCGAAAACATTCACAAAATCAATTTCTTTTCCATTTATTTTATTCATCCGTTTTCGACGGAATCCATTTTCCATCGAAAACCTTTACAAAATCAATTTCTTTTCCATTTATTTTATTCACCCATTTTTGACGGAATTCGTTTTCCGTCAAAAATCTTCGACGAAATCAATTTTCCATCGAAAAACTTCACAAAATTAATTTCTTTTCCATTTATTTTATTCACCCGTTTTCGACGGAATCCATTTTCCATCGAAAACCTTCACAAAATCAATTTCTTTTCCATTTATTTTATTCACCCATTTTTGACAGAATTTGTTTTCCGTCAAAAATCTTCGACGGAATCCATTTTCCGTCGAAAACATTCACAAAATCAATTTCTTTTCTATTTATCTTATTCATCCGTCTTCGACGGAATCCATTTTCCGTCGAAAACCTTCACAAAATCAATTTCTTTTCCATTTATTTTATTCACCCATTTTGGACGGAATTCGTTATCCGTCAAAAATCTTCGACGGAATCAATTTTCCGTCGAAAAACTTCACAAAATTAATTTCTTTTCCATTTATTTTATTCATCCGTTTTCGACGGAATAAATTTTCCGTCGAAAAGCTTCACAAAATAAATTTCTTTTCCATTTATTTTATTCACCCATTTTTGACGGAATTCGTTTTTCGTCATAAATCTTCGACGGAATTCTTTGTCCGTCGAAAAACTACACAAAATTAATTTCTTTTGCATTTATTTTATTCATCCTTTTTCGACGGAATCCATTTTCCGTCGAAAACATTTCGACGGAATCAACTTTCCGTCGATAGTTTTTGACGGAATCAATTTTCCGTAAAAAAATTCAACGATAAATGAATTCTGTCGAAAATTCCATCAGTAATTTCCACGGAAATTTTTTCCGTCGAAAATAATAACTTTTCTAGTAGTGTATTTTGTGTCCACAACATGAGAGAAGTTATCTTTTGTGATATGAGAGTCATTTTTCCTATAAATAAAGATTTTTTTTTTGGGTAAGTAATAAAGACTGCTTTTTATCATTTCTCTTTGATTGTATATCTTTTTGTTATGCTATTTTGGGAATTCATAAAAAAAAACTCCCGTAATATTGTAAATTTTGTGATTAAATAAAGAAAATGTAAGGGAGATATATGTAAGTTTCACAAAATTTGATTTTACAGTTTGAGGGAGCTTTTGTGTAATTGTGTTGATTTTTAAATTAAAACATTATGTATTATAATAATAAAAAAATGGTAAGAATGATCTCTTCAAAATATCACGTATACTGGTTGGTGTTCCCCCTATATATTTTAAAGTATACAAGGAGAAATACTGAAAAAATGATAGAAATTAAAATCTCCACTATAAAATAGATGCAACCTAATATTAGTATGAAAAAGGGACACTAAATACGTAATCAATTAGTAATTATCCCGATCCGTGTATTACACGAATATATATAAATTTAAGTAAAACAAAAAATAAAAAATAAATTTATAAATATTTACAGTTATAAGGAAAATATATAATTAATAATTAGTTTTTAAATATATAATTAATAATTAGTTTTTATTAAACTTAAAATTATATATATATATATATATATATATATATATATATATATATATATATAATAGTGTATATATAAATACAATATGCATAATTAATGTAAAAGAATAAAAGTTAAGAATGTCATACTTTATTTTCTAAAAAAGTAATAGTTTCAGGGATTACAAAAGTTTCAATCGAATGTATCTTAATTTACTATATATGAGTGAATTACTTACTGATTTTTTTTGGGTACAATAATTACTTACTAATTAATTTAGATATTATGTTGAATCTCATTTGAAGTAATATTCCCACTAAAAAATAAGGTATTGAAATTTGAAAATAGAAGAAAATTAGAAAATTGATATGAAATAGAAATAAATAAGAATTTTAAATTTTTTTATAGCAATAAATTAAATAAGCAATATTTAAAAAAAAAATTAGCAATACTTTCTAAGGTTCAAGTTATTATGAGGCTAGAATGAATAACCTAAATAATTTGTTACATTGGTAGGAGAAAAATCTTATACTTATATTAGGAATCATCTTGAGATTAATGTGCTTCTATGGTTGTTGTGGGACAAAAAAATGTCCCGTGATTTGGCAGGGATAAATATTTTTAATTTTGTCCAGTATTTCATTTTTAGTTTTCTTTTGATCCAGGATATTTTTAATATTAAAAATTGGAAAAAATATTTGTCTTTTTAAAAGATATATAGTTATATCATTTTAAGCGAGAGAAAGATACAACTTAGTATTTTTTATTTAAAATTTAAATTTAGAAAAATATCAACTTTCTCTTCTATAATTTTTATTGTTTTTGTCTTTCTCTTATTTAAAATGACATAACACTGTATTTTTTAAAAGATTAAACACAAACCCTTAAAAATTAGATACAAATTTTGTCGTGTCCAATACTTTGCTTTTAAACAAATCAAACCGATCATCTAAAAGTTATTATGCCGGTTTTGTGGAACAATTACAATTTACAAATAATTGTTCATGGATGGATTGTTGTGAGACCAAAAAATTGGGCTAAGTATCAATCCTAAACACGTTGAAAGATTATTTAATCCCCGTGGCCCTATCTTATAATTATTATTATACATGGTGTGATGACAAGAATGTATAAAAGTGTTAGTTTTATGAATTTAGCTCTTCTAAAGACAGGGGTACACTTTAGAGAGTAAAATGCAAAATTATAACCATTAATTATAAAACCAAATGATTGTATATAATTTGTTATATATGCATATGTGTTTTATAATCTTAACCGTAAATTCTTTAATCAAATTATATTCTCCACTCTTGAAGAATCAAATTAGACTACCAAAAAAAGAAAAGAATCAAATTATAACTTGATGGTTCGAACTACAATGGAAATTGACACATATTTTATGAATATTTTTTTAATCATTTTTTAATTTATATTGAATATGAGACTAATTCTAATCAAGAATATTGAGGTCACCGAAAAGAAATCTTCAAAATTGAATTTAAAAGTAAGAAAACCATACAAATAAGAAAAAATACTTAAAATTTTAAAAAAGAAAACAAATAAAAATCTTAATAATCAAAGCTTAAAATGTGTATAATTGTACAACATATTACACACACTCAAACTCATATATACATTCAAGTGACTGAAATGATTAAAAGAATACTTTTTTTTCCCACAGCGTAGATACGATACGCCAGATAACAAATATAAAAAACAATATCAATATTTCTTTTTGATATATTGACGTTAATTATCTTTTTGAGGCAAATATTTTCAAAAGTTTCAATTCTTTAAATCAGTTACATGACTAATTTTAAAGGGACAGATTATATTTACAAACTTTTTTTGTTTACTAACTACGATACGAGTGTACGACCGATCGTACTTAGTGTAATTTGCAAAAAAAAGTTGTAACCAGATCTTATCCCAATTTTAAATTAGAATTTAGTCACAATTAAAACTCTTCATCTTTACGAAAAATATATTTGATGAAAATTAAACTTAAATTCTCCTCCCACGTACTCAAAATGTGTTGTCAATTAAGTTACACTCAATTCCGTCGATATAAATATTTGAAGATAGGAAACAATAAATTTTGTTCTAATTTATTGCCGTTTTATTCTAACCGCTTTACTTTCTTTTAATTAAGTAAATATTATTTGTTTATCCATAATTGACCAGTACAAGTGTTTTTTTTTGTTATGCCACCAGCTTCTAATAAGCCCCACCTAGATAGATACGAACAAAACATTTTACATTGTTGAAAATGACAGGTAACCGCTTTTGTGGGTCACTCAACACGATCATCATCATCAAATTCAATCCTCAATAAAAAAATAAGAATAAAAATAAAAAATGGAATGGAATGGAAACCAAATATATGAAACAGAAATACCCAGAAAAAAGAAAATCTCAATATTATGGGAAAGCTAATAACCACTTCTAAACCACTCATCCTCCAATCAAAGCTCCTCTGTTTTTCTCTGCTCTATCTCTTCACTACTCTTTTCCTTGCTCTTTACGCCATTTTATCTCAATCCAAATGCCTCTTCAGATCATCCCCTTTGGATCCCATTCAGAATTCTCTTTTCTCTTACCCTTCTTCCTATGGAGAACACAAGTACGCTGTCTCAACCACCCGTTCTACATGCTCTTCCCCTGTTTACTTTTCAGGTAATTGCGCAAGTTTTTGTGCCACGATTTTTTATTTTTTATTTTTTTTGGTTTATGTGATCAAAGATAATCACTTTTTGTTAATGGGTTGTGGTTTTTGAATTCAGATTACTTGGATGTTGTGAAGGAGATCAAGAATTCCCTCAAGAACTCTTCAGCTTACTCAAGGGTTCTGGGGTATATGCAGGGGAATGCTGATAGTTTTGGTGGGAATCTCAGCACCCTTACGAGATTTTCATATTTTGATCATCAAAATGATAGCACAGAAGTTCCCTGTGGATTTCTGAAGAAGTTCCCAATCAGTGATTCTGGTCAGTTCTACATGAATTCACTTGTTATGAGTGCGTGTGTCCCCAATTCAGATCTCAATTCACCCAAGAAATATTCAACCATCAAATTTCCATTGGTTATAAAATGCCACTGAGATTCATAGATATGGAAAAACATTGTTCCCGGAAATTATTTACATTGAGGAGGACATAATGCCAATGAAATCAACATCCATTTTTATATTTTTTTGTAGTTTGATTTTAGATAGTAACTTGCTTCTGTTATGTGCTTTGTGTGTTGATATAGATCGAATTGCCATGGAAAAGTGTGACAGTGTAGTTGTAGTTTCAGCAATGTTCAATGACCATGACAAAATCCGGCAACCGAAGGGCCTTGGGTCCAAAACACTGGAAGATGTGTGTTTCTTCATGTTCATAGATGATGTTACCCTCAAAGGTCTTGAACATCATGGATTGATTTCAATAAAATCCAGAGAATACAAGATAGGTGTATGGAAGATTGTGAAGGTTGCAAAAGAAGATTTGTATCAGAACCCAGCAATGAATGGGATTATACCAAAATATTTAGTCCATAGGCTATTCCCAAATTCCCAATTCAGCATTTGGGTTGATGCAAAGTTGCAATTGATGGTTGATCCGTTGTTGCTGATTCATTCACTTGTTATATCTGAGAATGTAGACATGGCTATATCAAAACACCCTTTTTATGTTCATACCATGGAAGAAGCAATGGCAACAGCAAGGTGGAAGAAATGGTGGGATGTCAACGCCCTGAAGATGCAAATGGAGACATACTGTGAAAATGGACTGCAACCATGGAGTCCCAGCAAGCAGCCCTATGCCTCAGGTAACTAGTCATTTTTTTAAAATGTTAATTTCTTGCGTGGAACCGTAGGCTTTCATTTGTTATGCAACACTGCAACGTTGTTTACTTAAATACTTTTAAGACATTTGGTCACTAAAGTCTAAACTTTAAGAATGAAGATATGAAACAATGCACCTTGAGAGTTGATTGAGATAGCTTATGCTTGAACAAATTAGTTGTCCGTCTATATTAGTTTAATACATTCCAATTTTACAAGTCATGTAAGTCTATTAGGTCATGTACTTAAGATAAGGTTTTATGCCACCACATATAGCTTTTGACTTTTGCAAGTATACTTTAAATTTATTAAGTTCAAATTGTAAGAGTACAATAAGGTTATTATTTTAAGGAACATGAAAAGTTTTGCTGCACCGATGTTGACAATAAATATAATATGGCTCGTAAACCCTGCAAAGTCTTCAATGGTGAAGGAACGTCCGAGGAAGGTTTCTCTCGTACGGGGTAGTTTATTTCTGCTGGCCTAGTTGTTCTCATCCCAGGTCTTAGCTGAGGATTTTGGAATCTATTCAAAGCTTTGTTGCCACCCCATTAGGTTTCTTTTTCATTATTAGGAATCAAGCGTAAGATTTCATATTGAAATAGGAAGAAAAGTTGCGTTAGATTTCAATAATCATCTCTTTACAAAAGTAGATCATCGAACCATGGTCCTTAAGTTGTAGTGCTACTCCTTCAAATGTGGCCCAAAAGCTTTGGATTCCATAATCTAAGGCACGGTAATTCCATTTTTTCTTTTTTCTTTTTCTGGGAACAATAGTAGCTCAGTTTTTAAAACATACTGGTGAGATTCACATGCGTACGTTATTCTTATCCCTACTTTTGTCCCTTCACTGAATCATCTTTTTTTCCACTTTGGCTCTCAGTGTGTTTGCTAGCCATTTATTGTTTTGCATCTGCTCTGTTTATGATCCCTAAGAATGAGTTTTTCAAGGCACATACAGAAAATGAGATAGAAAATCAACTCACCCACCCACCCAAAATTAATGGTGTCCACTTTTAATTGGTTTTGGCAGATGTGCCAGACAGTGCTCTCATATTGAGGAGGCATGGAGTGGAGAGTAACCTCTTCTCGTGTCTTATGTTCAATGAGTTGGAAGCATTTAACCCAAGAGACCAATTACCCTTTGCATTTGTTAGGGATCACATGAAGCCCAACCTCAAGCTGAACATGTTTGAGGTGGAAGTTTTTGAACAAGTGACAGTGGAATACAGGCACAATCTCAAGAGCAGTGATGGGACCATTGTCAAGAAAATGTCCAGTTCAGGAAGAACCAAAAGGGCACACCCAGATTTGTTATATGTGAATGGTAGCTGTTGCAGCAGGTGCCAGAAGTATCTGTCCACTATGTGGGGTGAATCCAATGATTGATAAAACCCCATAACCGCAGTAAAGAGTCAATAAATAAACAAAAATCATAGAAAGATAAAAAGAAACTAATAGCTGGATTTGTCTTTTAACAAAGTGCCAAGGATATTAACAATGCAAAAAGAAAATAGAAGAAAAACAATTCTTTTATTGATAGAGAAAAGCTGACAACCTGTCACAGGTTAGCAGACTTGTCCTTTGTATTTATTCGTTTCCAAATATTCTCTATCCTCAAATTTTTATTTTTTTTAATTATTAAATGGCCAAGGTTGTCTTTGTTGTAAAGTGTGAAGAGAATAATGGAAACGTTAGCAAAACGATTTGTTTTCTATATAAACTAATAAAGTGAGTTTGGTGCATATTCAAGGAATAAACAAACAAAGTAGCAAGGTACAAGCAGTTAAATTATAATGCAATTTTTCGTATAATTAGTTGTTTGATTTGTATTATTAGTTACTTGATGACTGATGTATAATATTGTAAATTTTGTGTTATTCATTTATTATTATGTATAAGTATTAACATAATAATACACAATTTATTATACAGAAAAATATTTCTGCAATTACTGCAGATAAGTTATCTGCATTTACTCTCAAAACGACGTCGTTTTGGGATTGAAAAATTTAAAAATTATAATTATAAAGATTAAAATAATCCTGAAATGAATTAAACTTATAAAAATACCATAATTTCCGCTCCAAAACGTGTATTGAGCTTACTGTAGATAATTTATCTGCAGTAACTACATAAAAAATGAACCCTTTATTATAATATCTTTTATGTTGTATATACATGTAATAAGGCTTGAAAAACAAAATTAAAAATAGAAGTTAATGGTTTTTTTCTCTCTCTTTTCCCATTATGGACAAAATTTGTCAACTAATTTAATGAGTAACAAAATTTTACACTTTTGGGTTGTCTTTTAATTAATTTAAGAGCATAAGCAACTGAGATTTGAGGAAAACAAAACAAAATTTTAACTTAAGTCTGGGTTAAAATAATTGAAAGTAATTAATAATTTAAGTGCTTTTAAAAAATATAAAAAACTATTAAATAACATTAAAATCACGTATCTTAAAGATGATGAGATTATAGTAAAAAGTTACCGTATTATAAAAAATAAAGGCTTTATTTTATTTTATTATATAAGGGATACATGACTCCCTGATCCCTAGAAAGCTTAGAAAGAGAAAAGTCTGAAAAATCTTAAATTAAGGGACACTTTGCTCTTTTCCTACGTTCTACAACATCTAGATGGGAGAAAAAAAACGTTAAAGAAAAGTAATGAAAAACTTTTGTGAAAAATTTGAGTTTCTTGTGTATACGTTATTTTATATTAAAAATTCGGACAGATATGTTATACATAAAATGTATTTAAAATGATGTACTAAAAAAAAGTATTTAAAATGATTTTCGGTGTCCCTGCCTATAATTGTTCTTACATTACAGCTCATCAAAGCTTTGGCAAAGGTATCAAAATGCAACATCACTACCATAATGTATAGTATTCGATTTGATCACTTTATTGAATAAAATTTGGTTCCGGCAAAGGTATCCACTACAGGACCACTTTTTTTTATATCTAGCAAACTACTGAACATTAAATCATTCTGATAAAGCATTATATGAAATGAAAAAGTAGCCGGACCTAATAATTCATAAACAACCATAAATAATTATTCAAAGAATAAAAATATGATAAAGTGTGTGTCATTTTAAAGAATATAAAATTATGTCATTTTAAAATAGAGAAAGAGACAGATAAATGAGGAGAAAGAGTTGACAAAAAATAAATAAAGTGTGGATCTCACCTCTTTGTGAGAGTGAAAAGATATAAGTTGTGTCATTTAAAAGAATAAATATTTTTTCCATAAAAATATCATTGAATATTTACAAAGGCATGGATGATTGTTTGGGGGCAGCAACGTGGAAACTCATGCCCAATATAAAATTCCAAAAGAAACTAACTAACCTATGCTTGAATCCATTTGATTACTAACTACTGCATCATGATCATATCATAATTAATGAATGGTGTCACAAAAATCATGACAAAAGTTCACCGGTTTTTCATCAGTAAAATGTGATGTGATTTTGACTGACGTAAAGAGTCATTGGCCCCACAACAAAAACACCTTAAAATATTCTAATTCTAGATTTCTAGTTTCACTAACATCTCTCATCTCTTTGAACCTTAATTAAAATTTAAGACATCTTGTTCTGTTCGTGTTCCATTGATCCACAGGAACAAAAAAAAAAAATGACAACAGAACAAATAGAACAACACATGAACGATGCTGAGATCTACGTAGGGGAAGAAGTGTGCAAGCAGAAGACGCTGCTCCTCTTGGACGAGATTCTCCTTCCGAGAGGGTTGCTCCCATTGGAAGACATCATCGAAATGGGTTACAACCGAATCACCGGCTTCGTGTGGCTGAAACAGAGGCAAAAGAAGGTGCACCGGTTCGACGCCATTGGCCGCACCGTGTCGTACGAGACGGTTGTGACGGCGTTCGTTGACGAGCACCGAATGCGAAGGGTGACCGGTGTGAAGACGAAGGAGCTATTCATATGGGTCACCATCTCTGAAATCTTCGTCGACGATCCTTCTTCAGGTAAGATATCCTTCGCCAACTCCACTGGGATTTCTAGGTCCTTTCCTCTCTCAGCCTTCGATCTACAAGAGGAACACCATAACAACATGCACTTGCAGTTGCAATAGCAACAAAAAGGTGAACTAAAAGAAATATTGTTCTTGTTAGTTTTTTTTTTTTTTTTTAATTTATTTTCTTCTTAGGTTAGTTTGAGTTATCTGCCTGGTTCAGAAGTTGCAAGTATTGTTATTATATATCTATACAATGAATCCAATCCTTTTCTCTTTTTAAGTTCTCCAACAATTATTCCAATAATTACATATCCGATTTGATCTATGGAGGAATACGCAAGCATATGTTTCATGTTTGTTTGGATAATAGCAATGAGATTCCCCAATATCATGTTAAGAATAGCTGGAATTTTCAGAAGAAGATGTCATTCGTTTGATGAAAAATAAAAAAGAATATCGAAAATTCGAGTGGTTCATAAATATTGTATTTAGAAAATCTTGTGAGATGGGTCCAAAAATTCAAAATTCACATTAATTTAGTCATGGGTTTATAGAACTTTCTAAGTTTTTTTCACACATGATGAACAATAAGAATGAAGGGTGACTTCTTTTTCCTTAGAAGTATGAATGTAATCTAAAACAAAGGTTCAATAAATTTAAGAAGGTCATATCTAGGGGTGTAAATAGAGTGTAAATCAGTCAGATTTTGATCTTCATGGCCTAAGCTTACAGTAGGCCATCCTGACCCATTTAAACCCCTAGGGATATTGTCCCTCCAATCCCTCTCGTGCTCAACTCAACAGATTTTTATGTACAATTAGTTGTCTCCTCCGATTGCTAGGTGAAAATTACTTTCTAAGAATGACTTTTAAAAGTGAGTATTAATATTGCTATGTGTTAGATTAAAAAGTTATGGATAGTTAACAAGTGATACGGTTATTCATGTTCAAAGAGCTACTTGGTCTTCCGAACTTGTTGAAATAACTTTCTTTCCGGTTATTGTGGAAACTGTGCTGCTAACATGAATTGTTTGTTACTTACCTGCTTTGCCTTGAAGGTCGGGTACGTGGGGGTGGGTTCCATAACCTAACCATTTGCAAGAATTTCATGACATCAGACACATACTTGTAATGTAAGCCTCTGTTTCAGGGACAATCATTATACGTACCACACCCACTTCCAATGAAACGTTTCAACATTTCCCTCTACAAGGTTCACTCGGTTTAACTGCTGAACATGAATGAAATAATTGAAAATCTGTAACAGCTTTGCCAATAACAGAAAAGGCATAAATTGTTGTTCATTGGGGCTTGATAAATGTCTTGATTGTGATCCAAATATTGCAACTTGTCAATTAAACGTGTTTTATTTTAAAAAATGTAAGATAGTTAAATATTTTTTTATGTTAAAATATTTTAGAATATAAAATTAAAGTAATTAAGTTGATTTAATTAAGTTTAACCAGATTAAAAAATGAAAAAAAAATTAATACTCAAATTGAATATGATCAAGTAACATACTTGGGCTAACCACAAAATTGAAAAGAGAAAGGGGTGTATTGGATTCAGATTTCAAAGGATTTTAATGGATTATTTTTGGACAAAAAAATTCGTTGGTATTCGATTAGGATTTTAATGGATTGAAAAAAGTCACATGATATTCGATTAGGATTTTAAAAGATTATTTTAGAATCCGTCTGAATCCGTTGGTATTCAATCAGGGTTTTAAACAATGGAATCACAATATCGTGGTATTCAAAAATTCGACGATTTTAATGGATTTTCTATTGGTGTGAATTTTGTGAGACTTTTTAGTGAAAAATATAAATAGGATGCCTCTCTCACAATCTCACCCTAACCCCTAGGATTTCTTGAGATTCTTCTATTGCAGTGTTTTCTTCTTTCTTTGCAGGTTGACTACTCGAAATCGGGTTCCGCCATGGGAGCTTCATCAAAACTAAAAAAAAGGGCATATTTTTGAGCGATTTTCATCACAAAACAACCTAGAAAGAACAAACCAACGAGATTTTAATATAATCTATCTCAAAAATAACATATTTTTGAGCCATTTTTGAGAAATTTTGGAAGTTTAAGAAGTTATTTTTCAAGCTATGGGTCGCGATTTTTCTTGGCACAAAAACGTGTGATTTTTGTATTAAAAATAATATAAAACAGTGAAAAAATGATAGGGGAACTAAAACCCTCAAATCAATTTTCAATTTACATCAACGAAAGAATATCAATTTAAAGAAAGATTGAAACTTTCATAATATGAACCCTATATTTTGTAACAATACATTCATAAACGAAATTCCTTCACTATATGAAATGATTTCAAACAATTTTTGTGTCAATATATAACTAAAAACTTGTTTCTCAAAAGCCCCAAAGCAATTTAAGGTTTCAATGTATCGATTGAAAATTTTTTGAGAAATTTTCTAAACTTTCATGTAATTAAACCCAAAATTTCAAATTCGAAATTTTCTTAGAATATTCAATGAAAATATGCATATGATATAGGGAAATAATCCGTTAACAAACTTTTTTGACAAATTTTTACAAATTACACTATTTTCTCCCAGAAGAACACAGTGAAATTAATGTTCTCCCGGGAGAATATAGTGTAGTTTGTAAACAAAAAAGTGTGCAAGCAGAAGACGCTGCTCCTCTTGGACGAGATTCTCCTTCCGAGAGGGTTGCTCCCATTGGAAGACATCATCGAAATGGGTTACAACCGAACCACCGGCTTCGTGTGGCTGAAACAGAGGCACAATAAGAAGGTGCACCGGTTCGACGCCATTGGCCGCACCGTGTCGTACGAGACGGTTGTGACGACGTTCGTTGACGAGCACCGAATGCGAAGCGTGACCGGTGTGAAGACGAAGGAGCTATTCATATGGGTCACCATCTTTGAAATCTTCGTCGACGATCCTTCTTCAAGTAAGATATCCTTCGCCAACTCCACTGGAATTTCTAGGTCCTTTCCTCTCTTAGCCTTCGATCTACAAGAGGAACACCATAACAACAACAACAATAACAACATGCACTTGCACTTGCAATAGCAACAAAAAGGTGAACTGAAAGAAATATTGTTCTTGTTAGTTTTTTTTTTTTTTATATAATTTATTTCCTTCTTAGGTTAGTTTGAGTTATCTGCCTGTGGTCCAGAAGTTGCCAGTTTGATTGATGTAACCGGATTATTATTATATATCTATACAATGGATCCAATCCTTTTCTCTCTTAAGTTGTTCTTAATTGTATTTAGAAAATCTTGTGAGATGGGTCCAGAAATTCAAAATTGAGGTTTATAGAACTTTCTAAGTTTTTTTCACACATGAAGAATAAAAAGAATGAAGGGTGACTTCTTTTTCTTTTGAAGTATGAATGTAATCTAAAACAAATGTTCAATGACTTTAACAGGGTCATGTTGTCCCTCCAATCCCTCTCCCGCTCAACTCAACAGATTTTTGTGGACAATTAGTTGTCTATACTCTAATTGCTAGGTGAAAATTACTTTCTAAGAATGACTTTTAAAAGTGACTAATAATATTGCTGTGTGTTAGATTAAAAAGTTATGGATAGTTAACAAGTGATACGGTTATTCATGTTCAAAGAGCTACTTGTTCTTCTGAGCTTGTTGAAATAACTTTCTTTCCGATTATTGTGGACACTGTACTGCTAACATGAATTGTTTGTTACTTAACTGCTTTGTATTTTTTGTACAGGAAAAAGTTTTTTTTGCCAAGAATTATTATTACCAAGAAATATTACTAGGAATATTGGCTCAAGTTTATTAATTTCATATTTAGTTGATTGTTAAATATTATTAAAAATTTCAATTCCTAACATTCGGGATTCTAAGAATACCACCTGCTCGTGATATTTTTGGAAATCATTTTGTTATACAATTTGTTCACAAATCATAATCCCAAAAAAAATCAAATTCCTAAAAAAAATTTAAAAACCTTCTACCAAATATGAATAAATAGAATTTTCAATACTAGTTTCCCGGGAATACAAAAAAAAATCCATGTAACAAACGCCCTTAAAGATCGGGTGGGGGGGTGGGTTCCATAACCTAACCATTTGCAAGAATTTCACGACATCAGACACTGTTATGCTCGTGCTTCTGTCCCCTTTCACATCATGTGGTTGGTTTCTGAGATCGGCCACCAGAAGGTCACGAACATGTCAAAACAGTGACAAACACACTTCTTTGTGCATCTTCTTGATCTTCTTTTATTACAATTTGGTAATACAAATAAAAAAAATACAAAAATTAAAATAAAAAATCAAGAAGGAAACCTAATCATATGAGATTAGCCTCCTTGTTACAACCCAAGAAAATACAAAGAAATTTCTACCATGGATTAAAGCCAAAATCATATAAAGAATATATATTTAATGAAAAGAATTATAACGATATTCATGCAAATGTTTAATAACAAATATAGAACCCTAGGTGCCATATTTCACGAAGCAAAACAAATTACATGAATAACATCGTAAAATAAAACTAGATCCACATCCAAAAACACAATCCGGCTCTGATACCAATTGTAAGAGCAATTGCATCTGCGGAAGCATTAAGACCATTGTGATTTGGATGTATAGGATCATCATAGTTTATTATTACCTCTTGTTAAAGCAAATATGAAATGATGCTCCACACTTCTTGAATCCTTTGCGTGACAGCTCGAACAGATATCTATTGTTCTGGCAGACCTTCCAAACTATCTCTCGAGGGGGGAAGGAAAGTGTGTGAGCACTATTCAGATCTGAGCTTACCTCTCAATCTCAAATGACCTAGGAGGCTGATGACTTAAGTGGTGGTTTTTATATGTGTTCCAAGAAACTCTAGCTCTAAGCTCATTGGGCTCTAGGCTTCTTGGACTCTTTTCATATTATTAGTCCATTTGAGCTTTAGTAAAAAAGCATAAACCCAACAGTCTATCCACAAAAATTTATTAACTCAATTCCATATTTCTCAGTGTGATATCTTATCATTGTTAAGTAACCATGATGTAGTTGGGATACAAAGATCACTTAACTCGGCTAACAATCAAGATGATTGTGCAGCACATGTGTTGTTAGGCAACTAGCTTGGCCAAGTTGTCAATCAATCGATGATGTTAACTTGTTGTAGCAGAATTGAATGCTCGCTTACCTATGTGCGCAACGAGTTTAATAGCCAAGACTTTTATTTTCGTTGCCAAATGGAATGGGTGGGCTCCACCATCGATGATGTTATGAAACAATATACGTTGAAGTTTCCCTCTGTCTAATTTATCTTGTTGATGATGGAAGGCAATACATTCTTTGACTAAACTTTTCTGCAGATCTTGTAAAGAGATAAAAATAATGATAGGAGTGCTTCAAAAGCCTTTGAAACAAGATGAGTAACCTAGGAAGCCCCCATTGGATGAAGATAGCACTAAAACGTGATATTCACTACAAACAAAATGCTGATTAGCCACATTTAAAAATGTGGCAACCATTGATAAAAAATGTGGCTAACATAATTTACCACATTTTGATTAAATGTGGCTAGAAGTGGTGTTGCAATAATTTAGCCACATTATTTTATTCACTTTGCCACATTTTAACTGAGTGTGGTAGCCTTTTTTTGGCCACATTTATTGTTAATTTAGCCACTTTATAAATGTGGTTAAACTATTTTGTTTGCCACAGTAGAAAAATGTGGCTAATTGTGCCTAAAACTTTCTTTAGCCACATTCATGTCCATGGCTTAATGTACGATTTTTTTTTTAAATTAAAATTATTATGAATTCGATAAATATTACAATAATAAAGAAAATAATGTTGAAAATAGCTCAAACACGATTTAGTGAACACATTAAAATATGAACCAAACACTAAATATTATATTCCATTATCATTGAAGAATACAAAGTCATCATGTTTCCAATTTATATAAGCTAATCAAGCTTTCTACCAATATCATAGTGGAAAAAAATCGCCAAATAAAACTAATAAAATGTTTACTTAAGGGACATCTATACAAAAAAATATCTTTTCAATTCCATAAAAAAATATGGTAGTACAAATTTTCCTTATTATTCATTTATGACTTGTTCTTGTATGCCATCCTAGTCCTTTGAAATTGCATCTACCAGATCACACCTGCACAAATCAATTCCATATTATGTTAATATACTATTAATGAGCTATTATGATAACCAACCTCAAAACACCAAGGTACAAAATCCTAAGGTCAGTCTCTACGCTTAGCTAGTGAACACAATCAAGGTCATTCATGTCCAATAATCAACCAAGAACTCAGGCAGACACTAGCCATAAAACAAATAAATCAAGTTTCATTTTTTATGTTATGTGATATCAATTAATGGGTTCATCAAAAAGCACAATAATTGTTTCTTCATTCCCACGCAATTCAAGAGAGCAGCTTTATCTGAATATTCATACTCTATAAGCTTAGATCACGGTTCATCTTAAAATCTGTACAAGAAGAAATTAGAAGATCCACCTGTTTTTTTCTTTATTTTATTTATTTTCAGAGCAAGAACCACCTAATAGAATAATAGAATACAAAAGGGGGAAGGAAAAAATGCCTTGGAAACGAAGTATAAAGAAGAAATAAACGAAAAACAAATGAACTCAATGAGTAGATATCATCTGATTCGTCCATAGTAAGGAGAACATAAGAGAAGAGAAGAAAGGAGGGGAATAAAATATTTAATAAAAAAAAAAACAATGAAATGAGAATTAAATTAAATGAACAGAGTGAAGAGATATGACAAAACAGTACTCAAACAATTTACCAACGACTACCCTTGCTTCTTCGTGGCTCGTCGTATACATGTTGAAGTTGGTTTCTTCAAATTACCTGATCCCATCCTTTCAGTGATATGGCTTCAGAATCTGCAGCAAACTAGCCCTCCACTCTGCATAGATACCATCAAATTTTGTCACCGCTTAGTTGCGCATCATGGGAATGAGAGGCCCAAAACCTTCACAATTTATTAAAGGAATCGATCAAAACTTTGATAACGTGATAGAAATCTTATTGTTACTTCTACAATAATTACTGCCTATCTATACGGTAACTCACTTATTATGGGTAAGAGGTCCTCTTTTTCCCTACCTTTACTAATAGTGAGGATGCTGAAGCTTGTCTTCATACGTATTGTAGTGTATATTACTATAAGGCCAATGAAATACATTAAGAAAAAAAAATATTGGAATCAAGTAATAAATAAAACAGGTTTTAATAGCATAATAAATTTATTAAAATAAGGACTACACCTAATTAAAGCAAAGTAGGACAATCACTTACATCATGATAGGTGGTTGTGTTGTTGGCACGTTCACCATGGTAACAAGAATCAACGGAATTGCTATATACCCTCGCGAAGCATAAGCCTGAAACAAAAAGAAGAAAAATAGAAACCAAGGACAGAAAGAAAATCCAAGAATATAATCAATTAAATCATATAGAAGTGCAATACATAATAACAGAGGAGTGAAGCAGAGAAGATGCAATAGGAATCTCAAGTAATGGATGCAATTATTCTTTAAATTTGTATTTTATTATGAAGGAAAACAACTGCAACACTGTTATACCAGTGTGGTGCCCTGTGAATCTTCTAGCTAGTGGCACAAAAACTCGGTCATAGATTGGAACAGCGAAAAGAATTGTGATTCCAACAAGGCCTTGAAGTGATACTGGAGGGATTCGAAAGTGTGGTCCTATGGAACGGATCAATGTTCTACCTTGCTTAGTGAAATATGTGTGTACTTGAGCTTGGACAACAGTGAACATCAAACAGCTTAGCCATATTGGGATTATAGCTTTGCTTCTTCAACTTGCATCATTGTACATAGCCTCCAAGGATCTCTGATTTTTCTTGAGGCATCAATGATAGTTGCCTTGTCCAGAAATCTATTAGAATTTTTTATATTTTTTTTATTGTCAGAAGAATTTCCCTTTAGTAATAATGTGGTAATAAAAAGTGCATCTGAAGCAACAAAAACACAGAAAATGTCTAGACCCATGATAAATTGTTGGAATCAACTCCAA